TAGTGAAACAGTAACAGAGGGATTGAGGGCCCTGCTCAGTGAGTTTACATGTTAGAGGGAGTGGGTTATAGTGACACAGTAACAGAGGGATTGAGGGCCTGCTCAGTGAGTTTACATGTTAGAGGGAGTGGGGTATAGTGACACAGTAACAGAGGGATTGAGGGTCCTGCTCAGTGAGTTCACATGTTAGAGGGAGTGGGGTATAGTGATACAGTAACAGAGGGATTGAGGGCCCTGCTCAGTGAGTTTACATGTTAGAGGGAGTGGGGTATAGTGACACAGTAACAGAGGATTGAGGGCCTGCTCAGTGAGTTTACATGTTAGAGGGAGTGGGGTATAGTGACACAGTAACAGAGGGATTGAGGGCCCTGCTCAGTGAGCTTACATGTTGGAGGGAGTGGGGTATAGTGACACAGTAACAGAGGGATTGAGGGCCTGCTCAGTGAGTTTACATGTTAGAGGGAGTGGGGTATAGTGACACAGTAACAGAGGGATTGAGGGCCCTGCTCAGTGAGTTTACATGTTAGAGGGAGTAGGGTATAGTGACACAGTAACAGAGGGATTGAGGGCCCTGCTCAGTGAGTTTACATGTTAGAGGGAGTGGGGTATAGTGACACAGTAACAGAGGATTGAGGCCCTGCTCAGTGAGTTTACATGTTAGAGGGAGTGGGGTATAGTGACACAGTAACAGAGGGATTGAGGGCTCTGCTCAGTGAGCTTACATGTTAGAGGGAGTGGGGTATAGTGACACAGTAACAGAGGGATTGAGGGCCTGTTCAGTGAGTTTACATGTTAGAGGGAGTGGGGTATAGTGACACAGTAACAGAGGGATTGAGGGCCTGCTCAGTGAGTTTACATGTTAGAGGGAGTGGGGTATAGTGACACAGTAACAGAGGGATTGAGGGCCTGCTCAGTGAGTTACATGTTAGAGGGAGTGAGGTATAGTGACACAGTAACAGAGGGATTGAGGCCCTGCTCAGTGAGCTTACATGTTAGAGGGAGTGGGGTATAGTGACACAGTAACAGAGGGATTGAGGGCCTGTTCAGTGAGTTTACATGTTAGAGGGAGTGGGGTATAGTGACACAGTAACAGAGGGATTGAGGCCTGCTCAGTGAGTTTACATGTTAGAGGGAGTGGGGCATAGCTGACACAGTAACAGAGGATTGAGGCCTGCTCAGTGAGTTTACATGTTAGAGGGAGTGGGGTATAGTGACACAGTAACAGAGGATTGAGGGCCCTGCTCAGTGAGTTAACATGTTAGAGGGAGTGTGGTATAGTGACACAGTAACAGAGGGATTGAGGGCCCTGCTCAGTGAGTTTACATGTTAGAGGGAGTGGGGTATAGTGACACAGTAACAGAGGGATTGAGGGCCCTGCTCTGTGAGTTTACATGTTAGAGAGAGTGGGGTATAGTGACACAGTAACAGAGGGATTGAGGGCCCTGCTCAGTGAGTTTACATGCTAGAGGGAGCGGGGTATAGTGACACAGTAACAGAGGGATTGAGGGGCCCTGCTCAGTGAGTTTACATGTTAGAGGGAGTGGGGTATAGTGACACAGTAACAGAGGGATTGAGGGCCTGCTCAGTGAGTTTGCATGCTAGAGGGAGTGTGGTAATGTGACAGTAACAGAGGGATTGAGGGCCTGCTCAGTGAGGTTACATGCTAGAGGAAGTGGGGTATAGTGACACAGTAACAGAGGGATTGAGGGCCTGCTCAGTGAGTTTACATGTTAGAGGGAGTGGGGTATAGTGACACAGTAACAGAGGGATTGAGGGCCTGCTCAGTGAGTTTACATGTTAGAGGGAGTGGGGTATAGTGACACAGTAACAGAGGGATTGAGGGCCCTGCTCAGTGAGTTTACATGCTAGAGGGAGTGGGGTATAGTGACAGTAACAGAGGGATTGAGGGTCCTGCTCAGTGAGTTTACATGTTAGAGTGTTGCAGTGTAAGCATGCAGAAGCCAAACACAGAGATATGGACACAGGTATTCAGGAAGTAAGAGGCCTTTATTTACATTACCGATCGGGTCTCAGATGAACTCCTGTTCCAAAAGATCTGAGAGACCAACACATGGTGTACATTCCTTATATAGCACTATAACTCCTCCCATTAATAGCTACACCCACATACACCTTTAACCAATCAATGAGCAGAATATAGACTTGTACATCTAGTCAAACCACATGGCTCATCCAAGACAAAGGAAATAAGTGCAATTTCAGTTCCTGCATTCCTGCACATGCTCAGTACACTGATGACAGTATCCTAGCTACATGTAGCTAACCAACTGACACAACATACACATATGCCCAGGCCCGGACTGGCCATCGGGCACACCGGGCAAATGCCCGGTGGGCCGCGATGGCCGTGGGGCCGAGGCCGGCAGGGGATCTCCCCGGCCGGCCCCTGCAGGGCCAGCGCTATCCGAGCGCCGGCCCTGCATAGTGCCTCCATGGGCCGGTGGGGAGATCAAAGATCTCCCTCACCGGCCCACAGGCAGGGAGATGCGGCCGCCAGCTGGGTGAGGGAGGGAGGGAGGAGAGAGGACCTGGCGGAGCTCTAACAAGCAGCTCCGCCGGGTCCTCTCGCGAGATTCTGAGCGTTGCCGCGGCAACGCTCAGATCTCGCGAGAGTGAACTCTAACCTGCAGGTTAGAGTTCACTCTCACCACTGGACCACCAGGGAAGGCAGCATGGCTCCCCCTCCCAGGCAGAACGGCTCCCCTCCTCCCTCCCCCCCTCCCAGGCTAAAGGTAAGAAGGGAGGGGGGGGGAGACATAACTTTAAAAAAAAAAATTATTAATAAAAAAATATATATATATTTAAAATTAATTCCCAAACAGCACCCCCAGACACACACAGCCCCCTCACACACAGCACCCCCAGACACACACACACAGCACCCCCAGACACACACTGCACCCCAGACACACACAGCACCCTCAGACACACACACACACAGCACCCCAGACACACACTGCACCCCAGACACACACAGCACCCCAGACACACACTGCACCCCAGACACACACACAGCAACCCCAGACACACACACAGCACCTCAGATACACACAGCACCTAAACACACACAGCACCCCCAAACACACACAGCACCCCCAAACACACACAGCACCCTCACACACACACACCCCAAACACACACACAGCACCCCCAGACACACACACAGCAGCACCCCCCAGATACACACAGCACCCCAAACACACAGCACCCCAGACACAGCACCCCAGAGACACAGCACCCCCAGACACACACACACACAGCACCCCAGACACACACAGCACCCCCAGACACACACACAGCACACCCAGACACACACACAGCACCCCCAGACACACACAGCACCCCCAGACACACACACAGCACCCCCAGAGACACATATACACACACATATATATATATATATATATATATTATATAAAATAACCCTCAGTGAGTTAACAGACAAAGAAAATTAGAAACCTAGAATGTGACGGCAGATAAAAACACCCTAACACACAGCACTCCTCTTACACAAACACACTGCGCACCTCACACATACAATACGTCCAAATATATATATATATATACACACACACACTACAGCACCCCTCACACTGCACCACTACACACATTACGCTCCAGATACACGCTAGATCCCTTACCCTATATGCACTCTTAATCCTCTATACACACACACACACACAATCTCCTATACGCACTCTGGGTCCTTTACACACTAGATCTCCTACACACACACTACATTCCTTGTCAGCAAACACATACAACATTCTCTAAACACACCCTCTCTACAACCCCTACACACACTACACCTATACACACACACTACTGCCCATATGCACACACTCGCTACATCCCCTATAACACTATGCCCCTATACACGCACTCTCTACAGCCTCTTGCCACACATATTACACCACAAAATCGACCTATTTACACAATACCACACCACACTCTACACACAGGCAATCCCACAAGCAGGCTCCAAACACATGCATCATACACTTTCCTGGCCCTTTTGTCCTCTGGTATCCCACTTGTTGAGACACCAGAGACAATTTAAAAGCAAACACAGTGCAAGCATGTTATTACATTTGCTTGCGCTGGGCAGAACAAATACAGGGCCTTTTTCTAATGCCAGAGCTCTTCAGCAGGGCTCTGGGCATTGAACCAACATGCTCACTTTCAGAGGGGGCGTGCTTGTCATTAGTGATGACAAAACACACCCTCTCTGGCCCCGCCCCCTTCTTGGGGGGCCGCTCTAATTGAAAAATGCCCGGGCCTAATTTTTTTCCCAGTCCGGCCCTGCATATGCCACATGGAGATTTTGGCCTACTAAATTTTAACCATGCTGGAATCCCATCACAAGAGGGCGTGGGGTATAGTGACACAGTAACAGAGGGATTGAGGGCCTGCTCAGTGAGTTTACATGTTAGAGGGAGTGGGGTATAGTGACAGTAACAGAGGGATTGAGGGCCCTGCTCAGTGAGTTTACATGTTAGAGGGAGTGGGGTATAGTGAGAGTAACAGAGGGATTGAGGGCCCGCTCAGTGAGTTTACATGTTAGAGGGAGTGGGGTATAGTGACACAGTAACAGAGGGATTGAGGGCCTGCTTAGTGAGTTTACATGTTAGAGGGAGTGGGGTATAGTGACACAGTAACAGAGGGATTGAGGGCCTGCTCAGTGAGTTTACATGTTAGAGGGAGGGGGGTATAGTGACACAGTAACAGAGGGATTGAGGGCCCTGCTCAGTGAGTTTACATGTTAGAGGGAGTGGGGTATAGTGACACAGTAACAGAGGGATTGAGGGACCTGCTCAGTGAGTTTACATGTTAGAGGGAGTGGGGTATAGTGACACAGTAACAGAGGGATTGAGGGCCTGCTCAGTGAGTTTACATGTTAGAGGGAGTGGGGTATAGTGACACAGTAACAGAGGGATTGAGGGCCCTGCTCAGTGAGTTTACATGCTAGAGGGAGTGGGGTATAGTGACACAGTAACAGAGGGGTTGAGGGCCCTGCTCAGTGAGTTTACATGTTAGAGGGAGTGGGGTATAGTGACACAGTAACAGAGGGATTGAGGGCCATGCTCAGTGAGTTTACATGTTAGAGGGAGTGGGTTATAGTGAAACAGTAACAGAGGGATTGAGGGCCCTGCTCAGTGAGTTTACATGTTAGAGGGAGTGGGGTATAGTGACACAGTAACAGAGGGATTGAGGGCCCTGCTCAGTGAGTTTACATGTTAGAGGGAGTGGGGTATAGTGACACAGAAACAGAGGGATTGAGGGTCCTGCTCAGTGAGTTTACATGTTAGAGGGAGTGGGGTATAGTGACACAGTAACAGAGGGATTGAGGGCCTGTTCAGTGAGTTTACATGTTAGAGGGAGTGGGGTATAGTGACACAGTAACAGAGGGATCGAGGTCCTGCTCAGTGAGTTTACATGTTAGAGGGAGTGGGGTATAGTGACACAGTAACAGAGGGATTGAGGGCCCTGCTCAGTGAGTTTACATGTTAGAGGGAGTGGGGTATAGTGGACACAGTAACAGAGGGATTGCGGGCCCTGCTCAGTGAGTTTACA